GGTAGGAATTTTTGAAACAATAAAATAAAAAAAATCTGGTAAGTAAATTCGGTGTTTTTCAAAAGAACTATGGACCAAGATTTTCCAAATATTATGTTTCAATATCAAATTTTTAAATAATACCCCAAAATGTGCCAAAGATCGCAAAAAAAATCGCGAAATCGAAATCAGCAAAAGAATCTCAAGATTTTCAAAATATCCTGTTTTAAATTATATTATTTTGGTGATTCTGGAAAAATGGTAGGAATTTTCAGAAAAATTCGGGAAGCTAAATCTGTTAAAATTTCAAAAGGGATATGGATATCTTCCAAATATTTTGTTTCAAAGTCACATTTTCAAAATATGGTCAAATTTGTCTCATTTCATTCATTCCTAGATTCTAGTAAGAATTCTCGAAGAAATACACTCAAAAAAAAAATTTCAAAAGAAATCAACAAAAGGATCTCTGTTGAAAATTTCCGAAAGTTAGTTCCAGACCAAAATATTCTGTTTTAATATCACATGTTTAAAAAACCAAAATGTGTCTAAGATCATTTTAGTGATTTTGGAAAAATGGTAGGTATATTTTCGAAGAAATGAAATCAAAAAAATTCTAAAAGCTAAAATCAACAAAAGAATGAAAATTTTCAAAAGTACTGAGGCCCCAGAACAAGATTTTCGAAATATTATGTTGCTTCCAATTCAAATGTTTAAAACATCCCAAACTTCCCATATTTTATTTATTTTGAAGATTCTGGAAAAAAGGTAGAAATTTTTGAAGAAATAAAATCCAAAAAAAATCTCGAAATTAAAAATCACGGGAAGAATTACTTTTGATGATTTTCAAATATGCTATCGTTCTAGACGAAGATTTTGGGAATAGTTTGTTTCAAATTTAAATTTTAAAACATCCCAAAATATACTTATTCACTCATTTTGAAGATTTTGGACAAATGGAAAAAAGTTTCGAAAAAGTAAAACCCAAAAAATTCTAGAAATCGCAAATCAGTAAAATAATGTCAAGATTTTCAAAATATTCTGCCTTAAATTCAACTTTTTAAAATATTCCAAAAATTGTCATATTAGTTTGGTGATTTTTGAAAAATGGTAGGAATTTTCAAAAAAATTAAATGAAATAAATTCTGGAAGCTAAATCCGTAAATATCAAAATGACTATGGTCCCATTCCAAACATTTTGTTTCAAATTCCAATTTTCAAAACACTCCACAATTTTCGTTACTTCATTCATTGTAGAGATTCTGCAAAAACGGTAAGAATTTTCGAAGAAATACATTCAACAAAAAATTTCCCAAAATCGAAATACACAGAAGAATCTCGATTGGTAATTTCCGAAAGTGTTATGCTCCCAGACCAGATGTTCAAAAATAGTCTGTTTCAGTATCACATTTTTAAAATACCCAAAAATGTGCCTAAAACCATTTTAATGATTCTTAAAAAATGGTAGGTATATTTTTAAAGGAATGAAATCGAAAAAAACCTGGAAGCTAGAAATCAAAAAAAGAATGAAAACTTTCAAAAATATTGTGGTTCCAACAAGATTTTCGAAAGATTATGTTGCTTCCAACTCAAATGTTTAAAATATGCCAAAATTGCCTTCTTCATTTCATTAATTTTGGCGATTCTGGAAAAGTGGTAAGAATTTTTTACAAAATAAAATCCAAAAAAAATCTCGAAATCAAAATCACTAAAAGAATCTCTTCCAGACCAGGATTTTCGAAATATTTTGTTTGAAATTAAAAGTTTAAAATATTCCAAGATTTACTTTATTTCATTCACTTTGGAGCTTTTGGAAAAATGGAAGAAACTTAAAAAAAAATCTAAAAAATTTGTGGAAATCGAAATGAGCAAAATAATCGCAAGATTTTCAAAATATCCTTAAAAATTCAAATTTTTAAATTATTACAAAAATTGCCTTCTATCATTTTGGTAAATCTGGACAAATGGTAGGAGTTTTGCTAACATAAGACTGAACAACATTAAGAATGGTCACTGGAATAAAGAGGGCGTGGGTGGGTGGGGCTATTGCTTCCTTATAAGACTCTTTAGAAAAAAGCTAAACTCAGCCCCGCCCACTTATTTTCTCTATTTCACTGACTTTTTTTATTTACTATAAAATGGGAATTGAATTCTGTTTTGACAAACGATAGAATCTAAGATTTATAACAAAGTAAAAAGTGGCCCCGCCCACCCACCCCTATTTCGTTTTGATTATGCATTCTTATTGGCTCTGAAGAACGAAAGATTTTTTTTTTCAATTTTTAGATTTTTCAATTTTTGATTTGCAATTTTTCTAGTTTTTATTTTAAATATGTAATAATAATAATAAAAATAGTCATTCTTTACTTTAGTTATTACAGTCAAGAATGACTATTTTTTTGAGTTTTGTCCAGTCTTATTTTCCAAACAAATTTTGCTTTACTTCATTCATTGTAGAGATCCTGGAAAAACGGTACGAATTTTCGAAGATCAAAAAAATTCTCAAAATAGTCTGCTTCAATATCAGTTGTTATCAAGTTGTTAACCCCAAAAGGTGCCAAGATTATTTTAGTGATTTTGGAAGAATGGTAAAGTTCCAAAAAAGTACTGTGGCCCCGGAAGAAGATTTTCGAAATATTATGTTGCTTCAAATTTAAATGTTTAAAATATCCCAAAGCCTGCATTAGTTTATTAATTTTCGAGATTCTGGAAAAATCGAATTTTCGAAAAATTAAAACTCAAATTTTTGGAAATCGAAATCAACAAAAGAAATTGGTAATTTCCGAAAGTGTTTTGATCCCACACCAATCTTGGTATCTACATTTTTCAAAGATCCCAAAAATGTACCGATACTACAAGTATTGTTTAGAGATTTTTTTGCAAAGAATTATGGTAAATATAATTAAATCAATTTTATTCAAGTTCAAATACGAGGTAAGCGCCAAATATTCTCGGCCTAACAAAGAAAGAGACCTGATGGAAAAAAATTAAATATTTATATTTCAACATAGTCTCTGTTAACTTCAATACATTCAAAACTACGTTCAACTAACAGCTCTATCCGTTTAAAAAAATTATTTGAATCTTTATCACTAAAATGATGTAGTACTGCCGTTTGCACATCTTTATCCGTCCCAAACGTTTTCCCTGCAAGTCGTTTTTTAACTTAGAGAACAGTTAATAATCGTTCGAAGCTAAGTCAGTACTGTAGGATGGGTGCTCAAGTTACTCGAAGTCACAGGCCCCTATAGCAGCTTGAGAAAGACATGCGGTATGAACGGGCGCATTGTCATGAAGCAATCGAACGCCTCTTGCTAATTTTCTCGGCCTTTTTTCCCAAATACGTTCTCCTAATTTATGCAATAAGTAACCATAATATGTAGCGTTGACAGTGGTATTTCATCCTTTAAAATTAATCAACAACATGCCTTTACAGTCCCAAAAAATTGTGGCCATGATTTTTTTGGAAGATTGATTCGTCTTCAAGGGTTTCTTACCCCATGCGAAATAACTGTAATCATTTTTTTTAGTAAAATGTGAAGGACAAGCTTCAGCAAACACAAAAACCATCCTGCCCTTAATACCCTTTAGAGCAATTCCATCTTTTGCTAAGAATTTTATTGCCGTTCGATTTTCAATTTTAAACAGGCATGATGAGTCCATAATTTTTCAAAGATTACTCCTCAAATGTATCAAAACTAATGGGCAGTAGGGCTTGAAATTTTACACACATACTGCGGGGACCCTCTAGTCTTCTATGAGTTGCACAAATTTCCCGATGAGCAATCGCAAATATATCAGGCCGAGAATATTTGGCGCTTACCTCGTATGTTTTAATTTTTAATCAATAGATTTTTATTCAGTGAATGTTTAATGAGTGGTATATCATAGTCCAACACCGATTTCTTCTATACCTCCAGATTTTCTTTTATGGATTTTCTTCTATTTTTTTGTTCCATTATAAAACATTCCCCTAGTTTGAAAACAAGTTATAAAAGAAAAAAATGCGCCATAATTATTTCCATATAGCATTTCCAACTTTCTAAACACTCCCTCATAAATGTATAACATGAGTTTTGTGGTGATTTACTACTAAATATTTAACTGAAACCTGAAAGTTGATTAGTAATTTTGTTTCTCAATAATACCCACTAGTTCTGAGTTTGAAACATAGAATTGGAGCACATCTCCTACCACTCATTCGCAGCTTCAAACTATTTTAGTGACTACGTTATCCCCCATCATTTTCATTGTACACACCGCCACTGACAAATACAAAGAACTACCATATCTATGTTTCTTTTTCTAACTTGTCTACATTGTTAAAAACGACATATTTCCTCAAGACACTATATTACAAACAAACCACTTTATCAAAGAATCACTTAATCCAACGTCAAGAAAAAATTCCATCCCCCACGTTTGTCTAAAAACATCCCGAACGGTTTATATTATATTCACCCAGGACCCGTTTCTACAACGCGCTTTGACGAACACATTAAAAACTAAGTACGGAAATTATACAGTGTATTCTAGTTAAGAAGTTCGATAAGTACTCGATCCGCTTAAGATGATTTCGTTTGTCACATCAATAACGAGCATCATTAAGGAGTTGTCGGTGCGGCTTCGGCTTCCCTGCAGTCTCTCCAAATCAATACACTAATGTTTATTTTTAACTCCCCAAGCCTACGACGGTCTCCGTTTGATTTATTTTCGAAAACTGACATTTAGTAAATACGAGCACTCTACCACCACTCGCTTAAAAATTGGCCTGTCGTAATTCTTCCTCAAGATTCATTCAATATTGTAAAAATATTTTCGCCCGCGACGCGAATGCATGTGAAAATTCCCAAACGAGCAAAGATCGCATTTAAATCTCGTGTAAAAACCCACACCGAATCACCCCATTGTTTCATTGTAAAGTTCTAAATGTGTGCACCCCTATAAAAGTAACAAGCTAATTTTAACGATCCACGCAAAATCCACGTCCAACTAACGATAAACATTATCTGTTTCCGAATCAGGTGCAATATTCGACTGGTAAATTGCCCATTGATCCAGTTGCAAATATTTACAGAATACAGAGCAACAGAACCATCAATCTCTTGCCGTATGCATCAAACAGCATGAAAAAAGACCCAAGAGCGGTGCACCAATTTTTTTATGCTCGCTGATAGATGTTGATATGAGTTTTGTTTCTTCACTGTTGCAAAAACGTCCCTTTGTCAGCAAGGTGCAAGGTAAAGTTGCCACCAAGTGTAAGTGCCCAGGAATCTAGGTGATAAGTATCGATGTTTTCCACACATATATTAAGCAGTTCATCATCATCACAGAGTTAATTGTACATAAATGACCGCATCACTTCCAGTTTTGTTATGGAGTCAAATGATTTATTTTTTTACAATGATTGAGAACACCTCTAGATAATAAATATCGTGAAAAATATTTCTCCATCTAAGAAAACGATAGTAGTTTGGTTGACAGCGGGTGCATGGTCTCTCCGTTCTACCGGTTGATGGTGTGAGGAGGACCATCAAGACTCCTTGTCACATCCTTGATTTTTCTTTATATCGTGTCATTGTCATTGTCTACATCCTGCTGTGATTCCCTGTCGGATTAGCTTGTTGTATCCCTCCGATGGTTGTGCCATTTGCTCAATGTTGTCACTCGGAGAAGGCGGCCTTTTCGTCCTAGGCCCGAAAAGGCCGACTTCCTCCGCGATCATCTAAGATTTGTTTATTCATGTAAATAGACAAGTGTATAGCGTTTTCGAATTTACCAAGTATTCCATGTTTGCCATTCGACAATCTGTATATGCACAATTATAAATCATTCTTTAAGCTATGAAATGTCAATACACTAAATGTATAAGAAATGCCAATTCTCGACTGTTCATATCAACTTAATAATTACATATTTGTATATTGAACATTTTCTTATTACTTTCGGTGTAAATAGTTCGGATATAGTTCTAATGTGTGTTGACTTTGTAGGTCAGAAATACAATCAAAAAGAAAGTACAAAAATACTGATGGTTTGTGAAGGCAAAGAATGATTCGCGGAGAGGAAAAGACGACGTTATTCTAACTTTCGTATTCTTTGCGAAACATTATTTGCCGTGTCATATCAAATATTTCAATAATGTGACGTTTCAGAAATGTTAAAAGGGAATGAGAGATTATTAAAATGTGATATGTTTCAGTGTCGGTGTTTTATTTCACGTCCTATAACAATGCATGCACTCGCTTTCACAGAAGTCCCTTGTTTTCGACCTTACTAATTTAAAATATTGTAACAGGAAATCACTCTCAAAACTTCAGCTTTGTAGGATCTGCAAGCAACTGTTAGCCAACCGTACCGACTACTTGTTGCAGGAATCGATATTTAATCCCTGGATTGTGCAGGGCTGAAACAGAGGGATACAAGACGGATAATCGTTTTTTGAACTTTGAACCCGAGACAGACGGCTGCAAAATCAACCACCTAGTAATTGTATGCAAAATTTACTCGTTGTAACTTGTAAGAAATAAACAAATCATTGACAAGGTTTGTATTTTCATTGAAATTTTGACACGAAATTTGAATTCGAACTGGGACACCACATCTAAATTAAAACATAATAAGAAATTGCTTGAATTTTCATTCGTCTAGACTGCACACATTCGCTTTAAAAGACAATTTATTCTGTCTACCTTACTCCTCACATGCATATGCAGTATTCAAAGCGGCGCCACAGGAAATGACTTTCAAAGCACCGGTTCGGCTGGCATCTGCTGGCAACTTTTACCCGACCGCACCGACTACTTGTTGCAGAAATCGATATTTAATCCCTGGATTGTGCAGGGTTGAAACAATCGTGTTTCAGTTGGGTACAAAAGAGATGAATTGTCTACTTAAACTCTGGAAGTAGGGCTAGAGTTTGTATACAGAAGCGATTTTAAACCTGTCAACGACGTCATTACTTAATTAACCAATAAACTGTTTTTACGTGGAGATTCGAAAGTAAATAATCTTCGAATGATTTTAACAGAAGTATTAGTGGAAAATTAGAGATACAGTCCTTGGCAGAGTTTTTAACTTAAAAAACGAACAATTACAGAAAACAAAAATTGAACGAGACAACAAAAAATAGTTACCTTATTAATCAAATAAGTATAAGTAATAAGTAAGTGTTAATAAGAGTGTAAGTAGAGTGCCTCTAATTTCTGATTATTCTATTCCTAACACATATCGTCACTATAATCCTCCATTATTACATTGTTTTAAATTGTATATTTGTATCAGTCACAAATATGACGTCTTCTATGATAATTTTTGTAACAAAAAAAACTAGAGAAGAATTAGTCGTTTACAACAACCAGTGACAATTGTTGTGTATATTTTAATTTAAACAATAAAATAACCGGAAACATGTTTCATCATGTGAACAGACACAAAGGTTATGTTAATTTTTATATATTTTATTTCCAAGTTTCGTCTTGTGTCATTTCCAGAATGCTTACTGGATCAGGTTGATCTGTTCGTAAAAAAAATATTACTTCCCATCTAAAATCTCCCCGTCATAAATTTATTAAATAAAGATTCATTATTGTTAAAAAAATCACTCCACTGTTTGATTTAAAATACTACCTCAAAAATTTTCTGTAATCAAACCAGGAAATTTTGATTCTTGTCCACTTTATTGTGTCTAAGTGTTTAGGGATTATGGACACCCGCATTGATGAGGTAGAGCAATCTAATGCCCTCACTGCTGGATACTGACAATACTTTGGCGGGCGATAATAACTTTCAACAGTTACTTCATAGATCTTTGTTTAGCAAGAACTTGTTTGATCTACAGACCAGAGGACACACAGGCCAATATCGACTTTAAGCGATTTGTCTATAAGTCGACTGTCGTTAAAGGTGATGTAATACACATCCACTACGAAGAACTAACCCCTTTCGACCATCTGGTCGGACTTTACAACGAATAAGTGACCAAAGTTCCTGAACATCTTAACGTTTTAATTACATAATGTTCCCGAATGACAAAATTCACATTTGAAAACTTGTCACCAACAATGAAATGATGTAACGTTTACGGTTTATAAATCCGTGTTGAGTTTTTATCTTAGATAGTTAATGATGTCATTTTACAATTTTGTCGAATAAATGTTATCTAAATGTTAAAAAGTAGCATAGTTGTGAATTTATGGTTTGTAAATACGCTATTCAGATTTTTCGGCTTTTCGATTTCTCGATTTTTCAACTGTTGATGTGTCAATTTTTCAATTTTTTCATTCTTAAAATTTTCGACTGCTTGATTTTTTTTATTTTTCGATTTCCCAATTTTTCGATGTTTAAATGAATTGTTGTCCTCTATAATTTTACGATTCCTAAATATTTCGATTTTTCAATTTATTTCAAATTTTGCAGTTTCTAAATTTTCGTTTTTCCAATTTCTGAAGTAATCTTTTTTTATTTTCCCATTTCTCGACTTCCCGAAGTTTCGATTTTTCACTTATTCATTTCTTCAATTTTTCACTTTTGCAGGTTTTTGACTTTTCAATTTTTAGATTTTTTAAACTGATTGTTTAGTTTTTCGATTTCTCAATTTTTCAATTTTTTAATTTCTCAGTTTTTTGGATATTTCTTTCAGTTTTGGGGTTTTTCAATATTTCGTGGATTTTTTAATTTCCCGATTTTTTACTTTTTGGATTTATAGCTTTCCGATGTTTTAATTTTCAATTTTTAAAATTCTAGGATTTTCTATTTCTCGAGTTTTCGGTTCTTCTATATTTAAATTTTTCAATTTTCCGAATCTTTAAATTTTCACTTTTCCAATTTTTCTATTTTTTTAATTTTTTAATTTTTAAGTTTTTTGATTTCTCGATTTATAGAATTCAGATGTTTCGATATTTCGATTGTTCAATTTCTCGATTCATCAATTTTTCAATTTTTAACTTTCGACTCCTCAATTTCTCGATCCTATGATTTTTCGATTTCTCAATTACTCAGTTTTTGAATTTTTCGATGTTTCCATTTTTAGATTTCTTGGTTTTTCGATTTTTTTTACTTTTAGACTTTTCAATTTTTCGATTTTTCAACTGTTTTATATTTCAATTTCTCACATTTCCAATTTTCGATACTTTAATTTTTCAATTTTTAAAATTGTTGGTTTTTCAATTTCTTGAGTTATCAGTTCGTCTACATATTTAAATTTTCGATTTTCCAATTTGAGATCTCGATTTATCGAAACTCCGATGTTTCGATGTTTCAACTTTCCCAATTTTAACTTCTCGATTTTTCGATTTCGCTTTTTTTGGTTTTTCGATTTCTCAATTTTCCAGTTTTCTAATTTCTCAATTTTTGGATATTTCTTTCAGTTTTGTGATTTCCCAATATTTTGATTCTTCGACTTTTCGATTTTTCGATTTTTTATTTTTTGGATTTTCAGTTTTTCGTTTTTTAAACTTTAGATTTTTCAATTTTTCGACTGTTTTATATTTAGATTCCTCAATTTGTCCACTTTTCGATATTTTAATTATTGTTCAATGTTTTAAATTTTAGATTTTTCGATTTTTCGATTTTTTGATTTTTCAGTTCTTCAGTATTTCTATTTTTCAATTTTTCAAATTTTGACGTTGCTAAATTTTCGGTTTTCCGATTTCCCAATTAATCGGTTTTTGATTTTTCCACTTCTCGACTTCTCCAAGTTTCGATTTTTCACTTCTTCAATTCAACTTCGATTTTTCGACTTCTGTATTTTTCGATTTTTGATATTTTGGATTATCAGTTTTTCTTTTTTTTAAATTTGGATTTTTCAATTTTTCGACTGTTTTATATTTCGATTTCTCAATTTTTCAACTTTTCGATATTTTAATTTTTCATTTTTAAAATTCTAGATTTTCCGATTTCTCGAGTTTTCAGTTCTTGTGTTTTAATTTTTCGATTTTCCAAATTTTTAAATTTTCGATTTTTCAATTTTTTGAGACCTCGATTTATCGACATTCGGATGTTTCGATGTGTTAATTGTTCAGTCTCTCGGTTTTTCAATTTTGTCCTACTTCGGTTTCTCAATTTTTCGACTTTTCGACTCCTCGATTTCTCGATCTTTTGAGTTTTCGAATTTCTCAATTAATCTAAGTATTTTTTTAATTTCCCATTTCCAGACTTCCCGAAGTTTCAATCTTTCAGTTCTTCAATTTTTCGATTGTTTAAATTTGCGATTTTTCGACTTTGCTTTTTTGAGTTTCGATTTCTCAATTTTTCAATTGTTTAATTTCTCAATTTTTGGATATTTCGTTCAATTTTGTGATTTTTCAGTTTTTCGATTCCTCAATCTGTCTCCTATTTTTCAGTTTTTCGATATTTGAGTTGTGGGATTTTTTAGTATTTTGCCTTATCGATGTTTTCGGTTTTTTATTTTTAGATTTTCAGTTTTTCTTTTTTTAAACTTTGGATTTCTCAATTTCTCCACTTTTCGATATTTTAATTTTTGATTTTTAAAATTCTAGATATTTCATTTCTCGAGTTTCCAGTTCCTCTACGTTATAATTTTTCAATTTTCAGAATTTTTAAATTTTCAATTTTTCTTTTTGAGATCTCGATTCATGGAGATTCGAATGTTCGATGTTTTACTTATTCAGTCTCTCGGTTTCTCAATTTTTCGATTTTTCGGCTTCTCAATTTTTCGACTTCTTGATTTCTCGATTTTTTGATGTCTCAGTTTTTGAATTTTTCGATATTTTGATTTGTCGATTTTTAGATTTTTTACTTCTCGGCTTTTCGATTTTTCGATATTTGAGTTATCCGATTTTTGAATTCTCCAATTCTTTTCGAGTTTTCAATTTTTAAATTTTAGATTTTCGAATTTTTATTTTTTTGATTTTTTGACGTTTCTGAATTTTCAGTTTCCGAGATCTCAAATAATTATTTTTTGATATTCCCATTTCGCGACTTCCCAGAGTTTCGATCTTTCAGTTATTCAGTTCTTCAATTTTTCAATTTTTCAGATTTTATTATTTTCAATTTTTCGATTATTTAAATTTGCGATTTCTCAATTTTTCAATTTTTTAATTTTCCAAGTTTTTGGACATTTCGTTCAATTTTGTGATTTTTCAGCGTTTCGATTCTTCAATGTATCTCCTGTTTTTCAATTTTTCGATATTTGAGTTTTGGAATCTTTTTGTATTTCGAATTTCCATTTTTCAAATTCTGGTTTTTCAATTTTTCATTTTTTAAACTTTGGATTTTTCAATTTTTCGACTGTTTTATGCTACCACTTCTCAATTTTACAACTTTTCGATTCGATTCTCGATATTTTCGATTTTTCAGTTATCCAATTTTTTAATTTTATAAATTCAGGAGTTTCGATTTTTCGATTTTTAAATTTTACTTTTTCGAATTTTTATCTTTTTATTTTTTTAATGTTTGGATTTTTCGATTTTTCAATTTTGCGATATTTTAATTGTTCAAAGTTTAAAATTTTAGATTTTTCGATTTCTCGATTTTTGATTTTTCACTTCCTTAGTATTTCTATTTTTCAATTTTTCAAATTTTGACTTGCTAAATTTTCCATTTTCCGATTTTTTAACTAATCTATTTTTGATTTTCCCACTTCTCAACATCTCCAAGTTCCGATTTTTCGAATTTTCGACTTTGCTTTTTCGGTTTTTCAATTTCACAATTTTCCAATTTTTTTAATGTCTCAAATTTTGGATATTTGTTTCAGTTTTGAGATCTTTCAAAATTCGATTTTTCGATTTTTTAATTATTGGATTTTCAGTTTTTCTTTTTTTTTAACTTTAGATTTTTCAATTTTTCCACTGTTTTATATTTCGATTTTTCAATTTTTCAACTTTTCAATATTTTAATTTTTCATTTTTAAAATTCTAGTTTTTTCGATTTCCCGAGCTTTCAGTTCTTCTAGGTTATAATTTTTCAATTTTCCGAATTTTTAAATAAATGATTTTTCAATTTTTTGAGATCTCTATTTATTTATCGAGATTCGGATGTTTCGATGTTTTGAATTATCCGATTTTTCAAATTTCCAATTTTTCTAATATTATCGATTTTTTAAATTTTAGATTTTCGAATTTTTATTTTTTTGATTTTTTGATGTTTAGATTTCTCAATTTTTCAAGTTTACGATATTTTAATTTTTCCGTGTTTTAAATTTTAGATTTTTCAATTTTTCAGTTCTTCAGTACTTTTTAATTTTTCAAATTTTGACGTTTCTGAATTTTTACCTTCCGATTGTTCAATTAATCTATTTTTTGATAGTATTCCTATTTCACGACTTCCCAAAGTTTCCATCTTTCAATTCTTGAGTTCTTCAATTTTTCAATTTTTCAATGCTTCTCAAATTTTTCAATTTTTCGATATTTGAGTTTTGAAATCTTTTTGTATTGGACTTTTCGATTTTTCGAGTTCTGGATTTTCAATTTTTAGTTTTTTAAACTTTAGATTTTTCAATTTTTCGACTTTTCGATCAGTTTTTAAAATTCTAAGGTTTTTCGATTTCTCGATTTTTCAGTTCTTTAATATTTCTATTTTTCAATTTTTTAATTTTGTCATCTTGGTTTTCGGTTTTTAAAATTTTATTACTAAAAATAAAAGTAAAAACTTGTGACAATGTATCAAACACAATTAAAAAATTAATTCTTAGTTAACAGAAAAGTAGTTGCATGTCAAAATCGAGTGAAACATGTGAGATCTGGTATATGTTTCTAAATAAAAGCATCTAAATAATAACTATTTGACTATTTCCCACAGAAACTCTGAACGCTTAGAGTCGACATTAGCCTGAGCACGCTCCGGTCTGTGAATCAAACAAGTTGTCAGGCGATAAATCGAAATTAGTTAAATAAATAAATAAACATTTATTTGCCCAATAGAATAATTCCATTTATGGGACAAACGAATCACAAATAATAACATACAATAAAAGAAAAATCAAATAGAAAAATAAGCGACAATCACGAATTCTCTAGACGGTCTACCACCATAACCGAAGAATTGTACGCATGGTTGCCTACGTTTAACGATTTTTATTTTTCAAATTCAAATTATTCAAACGTGGTTTCTTCTTTCGGCGCAAAATTTAAATTCGAACTGAGACACCACAATTACCTTTAAGTCCTAAATTAAAGTTATTAACCCACTTTTTTTTCGAGTAGGTAGGTTATATGATTCACGTAAATACGTAGGCAGACTTTTTAACTTCAAAATAATCAGCCAACTACTTTCGGTCATTATCTCTTATTACTAGCGACTCCGAGAAAAAAACAGGAAACCACCATTTCCTGTGCCGAAAACCGAGACATCGTCAGACGTCTTTATAACAATTCATTCATAAAAATAAAGTTGGGTAAAAATCAAATAAAACAACGGCAACCATATTTATTTATTAGTACCTACGGGCGTCAAACAGCTTCTTTATCAGTTCGCGCTTCGTCATTTTTTAAAAGCTCCTCGGGCACATTCAACGGATTTAAAATAACGCTCACCTAAAACCACAACAAAATATTTCAAAAAAACCCAACACCACTCACCTTTTTCTTTTTTCTGTTGTACGTTTTAACAATCTGTGGCTTAAAAATATGATCGAGATCTTTCAAGTTCCTCACGAACTGTCTCCTCTTCGTCGTGTCCGCTTCCTTGATTTTGAGCGCCAACCTGGACAAGTTTTCGAAAAAGAACTGGTTCGTTTTCGGGTTCAACTGCTTAGACGCCATCCCGCTTGTCATTTGAGACAGCGCGATATAACAATCTCTGAAAAATAGTGGTCAAAAATGAACCAAAACTGACCGTCCTACCTCAAATTCACATCCTTGTCGTTCGGTCTTTTTTCAAAAAAAGCGATATATTTCAAAACTCGGGGCAATATGTCGACGACTCCGTTATGACTGTCTTGGGTTTTTTTAATAACTTTGATCCACTGGTTTATGGCTGAATCCTCGTCGCAGTTTTGCTCCTGCTGGGAGATTTTTTCAGCCGCTAGCAATGAATATTTTTCGAAAGCCAGCCGTATGTCGGTTATAGTTTTATCCGGGAGGAGTTTCTGGACCTCTGCAATGTTATGCGGACCGTACTGTTGCAACGCCATCAGCAACTTTTTCTTGTCTTTCATAGTCCAGGAATCGTCCACTGAAAAGTGACACTCGACGTGACAAAAACAACAACACAACAATAAAAATTTATTAAAGTTACAATAGTAAAATTCAATCACAAGTGTTTATAGTTTTGTAAAACATTTTCAACAATTTCGAAACTAGATTTAAAATGAGCTTCATCGACCCCGAATTTCTTATAATGGTGCATGTAGGCGCCATATTTGTAGAGATTCCAGGCGTCTTGTAATATCGTGTATAACGAGACAAAAGCGTTGTTGCTATTAGAAACGACGGACAGACAGTTGTCTAAGTTAAAAATTTTCCTTCTCTGGTGGTAAATATGTACAGTTTTGGCAACACTGGAGTCCTTGAAGGGTTTAAAGTCGGTTTCCACGGGACTGTACAGTCCACGACACACCAGAGCTGAGGACACCCCCTTAAGTTTTAAGGTAACATTAGCTTGAGTTTTTTGTTGAAAATCGTAGCGCGACTGTCGTGAAATTGACGTCAAAAGCGACCGCCAATTAGAAGCGTTTTCGAGTTTTGACAACGGCGCTAGTTTTATTTGCAGCAATTTAAACAACGGATCGTCACACAAATTACAAAGTAAATCACCGGTCTGTACATCTTTCAGTGGTTGCAAAACTGTGAGCAACTGTCGCGCAATTAAATTATTTATGTCATCAAACGTCACATCTTTTATATTTAGAGAGTTAGTACAAGTATGATGCAGTCTGTCATTCTCAAAAAGTATAATGGCATCACTGGTTGAATAAACCTTTGACAAAGCCAACAGAGTATTGTAACTTTGGGTGACTAGTTCGCCACTACTGTATGGTAAAACAACCCCATTTATTATTTTGTTAGGGAATTCATTTTTTAAAAATTCGTTTATGGCACTACCAACCCCGGCACCTGTCCCCCCCGACAAACTAAATATATTTAAAAACCTAACTTGCTGGTTGCTTCGTTCCAACTCTTTCCTCACTTGTTCTTCCACTTCACCCGTCAACAATTTGCTTTGTTCGCAATATCCAAACGCCCAGTTGTTAGCCGAGCCCCCACACGACTTCGACACGACATTTTTGAGCTGATACCGGACATTCCGGGGCTTAGTTTTGCGTTCAGTGTCGATTAAAAGCGACCGAGGAACCAACTTATTGCTCTTAGTTACATGGAACCAGCTGTCCACTGACTGGGAGTAATAATCGTCTTTCTTTGAGTCGCAAATTTCCGTGTGCAGGTTGTTATAGAAAGCTTCGCTAATTTGGCTGCCACATTGACCATAAAATAGGGTGATTATGCTCATGACACAAAACGATTAGGATGGACGTGAAGTGAGGTTATGTCGCGATAATTACACACACAAAAAAACATGAAAATGGTTGTGAGGCAAATTACGTACTTTCGACTGCGATGTTAAGCGAGGCTCAAAGTAATTATTAAACTTGTCTAGTAGTGTACTAAAATGAAATTGGTTAGAAATTAAAAATCACCAAGTTGGTACTTACGAGTCGAAAATAATGTTTCTTTGTTGAGCTTCATGGGTGGGAATGGTTAAAAAAACGGCTGGGTTATGCGGTGTGAAGTAAATTAATTTGCACCTTTTAAATTGTTGATTGTTGTTGGTGTCGGTAATTGGCACTGTGGGTGTCTACTTTACCGACTTTGTAAAGATCAGTTTCTTTTGTGACAACTTGACGACTTACAGGGCTCTAAAACGTACGAATTTAGACTTGATTTTTCTGATAAATAATACAACAGGAGTGATAATATTATGTGTAGTGTTGTAAAAAAGTAATTCGCTGACTGTCACTATCTCCCGAAAGAAATTTGTATAGTTGTAGTTAGGCAACACACAATACACATACGCTAGGTGGAACTTTCTGACATCACATGAAAATGGCATAATTTGACTATTTGACACTAGTTAGACTCGCTAAATGAGGTATAACAGGGGCGTACTGCGTAACGTGTAATGTGTAAATTTTCAGTGTTACAAATTCAATTTTTATTTGATTATTTCTTTTTGATTTTTCCACTTTTGGTTTTTTCAATTTCTCGATTTTTGACCTTTTGAATTTTTCAGTTTTACGATATTGTCGTTGTTAGCTCGATTTGTTATTTTATAGATGCTTCTTCTTTCGTTTGCTCACTTTTTGGAATTTCCAGTTTCTCGATTTTTAATATTTCGATTTTAAAATTTTCCATTTGTGAATTTTTGTTTCTTCAATGCTTCGATTTTACAATTTTCCGATTTCAGATCTTCTAGTTTTCAATCTCTAATTTTTCAATTTTACAATTTTTGGAATTTAACGATTATTTCATTTCTCGGTCTCCCAGATTTTCGATTTTAATTTTGCGATTTTTCAATTTTTCTATTGCCGGGTTTTTCCAATTTTCAATTTTTAGAATTTTCAATTTTTAATTTCCGTTTATTTATATTGTGTTAACTAATCGTTTTTTTGATAATAACAACCATTTTCGAATTTTATAATGATAACTGATAACACCCATTCTTGATTTTTTTAAATTCTTTAGTTCTTCGATTTTGCAATGTCGGAGATTTTACAGTTTTTTGATTTCCAATTTTTGATTTTTTTTAAGTTTTTCAAATTTTCTATTTATCAACTTTTGAGTTCTTCAAGTTTAGAGTTTCTTGGATTTTTAACTTTTTCGATTTTACATTTTTCGCTTTCAGGTCTTCTAGTTTTCAATCTTTCATTTTTTACAATTTTTGGAATTTTTTGTTTTACGTTTTTTAATTTTTCGGTCACTCAGATTTTTGATTTCTCGATATTTCAATTTGCACTTCCCCAATTTTTCAATTTCTAGATATTTTAATTTTTCCTTATTTGGATTAATCGATTCTCAATTTTTCATGCCGTCATTTTTTCTATTTGTATTTTCATTTTTAATTTGGCTTTTAAATTTTTCAAGTCCTCTATCTTTTAACGCTTCATTTTCCCAGATTCTAATTTTTTAATTTTGAACAAAAAGAACAAATTTATTAAAGCTGAAATTTTCACGATTTTACAGTTTTTGGATTATTTAGTTTTTATATTTAACTTCTTCTTAACTAATTAATTTATTTATATTGTGTTGACTGATCTTTTTTTTAATAATAACACCCATCTTTGAATTCTTTAAAATTCTTTAGTTCTCCGATTTTGCTATTTCTCGTTTTTCCGATTTTTGTTAGATTTTACAGTTTTTCAAATTTTCTAATTATCAACTTGTAGTTCTTTGGATTTTCGTATTTACATTTCTGTCTTTTCACGTCTTTTAGTTTTCAATCTTTAATTTTTGTGATTTTTCGTTTTTTGATTTTTAATTTTTCAGTCTCTCAGATTTTTGATTTTCAGTTTTTTAATAAGTATTTCGATTTTGGGCTTATAGGTTTCTCTAGTTTTCAATCTTTAGAATTTTCAGCCTTTAATTTAGTTTTTAAATTTTTCAAGTTCTCAATTTTTTAATGCTTCATTTTCCCAGATTCTAATTTTTAAATTTTAAAACTATTATTTAAAATTAATAAAACTGAAATTTTCACGATTTTACAGTTTTTGAATTTTGCAGTTTTTATATCAAAGTAATTCATTTTTAGTTGTTTCAGCGCATTTATTTATATTGTCTTAACTGATCGTTTTTTAAATAATAACAACCATTTTTGAATTTTTTTAAATTCTTTAGTTCTTCGATTTTGCAATGTCGTGATTTTCGGACTTTGTTAGATTTTACTGTTTTTTGATTTCCAATGTTTGATTTTTTTTAAGTTTTTCAAATTTTCTATTTATCAACTTTTGAGTTCTTCAATTTTAGAGTTTCTTGGATTTTTAACTTTTTCGATTTTACATTTTTCAGGTCTTCTAGTTTTCAATCTGTCATTTTTTACAATTTTTGGAATTTTTGTTTTACGATTTTTTAATTTTTCGGTCTCTCAGATTTTTGATTTCTCGATATTTCAATTTTGCACTTACCCAATTTTTCAATTTCTAGATATTTTAATTTTTCCTTATTTGGATTAATCGATTCTCAATTTTTCATGCCTTCATTTTTTCTATTTGTATTTTCATTTTTAATTTGGCTTTTAAATTTTTCAAGTCCTCTATCTTTTAACGCTTCATTTTCCCAGATTCTAATTTTTTAATTTTGAACAAAAAGAACAAATTTATTAAAGCTGAAATTTTCACGATTTTACAGTTTTTGGATTATTTAGTTTTTATATTTAACTTCTTCTTAACTAATTAATTTATTTATATTGTGTTGACTGATCATTTTTTAATAATAACACCCATCTTTGAATTCTTTAAAATTCTTTAGTTCTCCGATTTTGCTATTTCTCGTTTTTCCGATTTTTGTTAGATTTTACAGTTTTTCAAATTTTGTTCATCAACTTTTGAATTTTTCAATTTTATAGTTGCTTAAATTTTAACTTTTTCGATTTGGACTTTTTCAATTTTACATTTTTCGCTTTCCGGTCTTCTAGTTTTCAATCCCTAATTTTTTACAATTTTTGTAAATTTTTTGTTAATCAATTTTTAATTTTTCGGGCTCTCAGATTTTTGATTTTCAATTTTTTCACAAATTTTCAATTTGTAGACATTTTAATTTTCCTTATTTCGATTAATTGCTTTTTCAATTTTTCATGCCTTCGTTTTTTCTAGTTTTAAAATTTTTCAATTTTTCAATTTTATAGTTAATTGCATTTTTAGCTTTTTCAATTTATATTATTCAATTTTACAGTTTTCAGGTTTTACAATTTTTCGCTCAGTTTTCAACTTTTCAGATTTTTAGATTTTCGTTTCTTGGATTTTCTGATTTTATAAATTTACAGTTTTTAAATTTTTCCTTCCTTCGATTGTGAGATTTTTCAATTTGGAGATGTTTCAATTTTTCTTTATTTGTATTAAACTATTATTCAAATTTTAATGTTTTCAATTTTTTTATTTGCAGTTTTTCTAGTTTTCAACTTTTAATCGTTTTTGAATTTTTAAATTTTGAACAAAAAAAACGAGTTTATTCAAACTGATATTTTAAAAAATGGTTAACCAGGAATTTTTTTTATGTTGCTCTTGTGTTTTCGAAAAATGGAAACATCCAAAATAAAAAAAAAAAAACAAAAAAACCTAACAGCTGAATTGACGAAAAGATAAAATATCGGCAAATTTAGAAATCCAAAAATAATAATAAAAAGAGCCAATCTAAAAAGTGAAGCACATTCAAAAATTGCAAAATCTAAAAATTTCAAAATTTAAACTGGAAATCCAAAAATTGCAAATCAAAATACTGGAAAAAGGAAAAATTATAAAATCGCGAAACGGAAAATTCGAAAAACTGAAAAAATGAAAAAAAATAAAATCGAAAAATCGAAAAATCCAAAAGTTGAAAACTGAAAAAGTTGCCACTATTCAAATTTTCATGTCTTCAGTTTTTTGATCTGAAATTTTTCTAGTTTTCAGCTTTGTCTTTTAACTTTTTAACTTTTAAATAAGCAACTTCTCGTTTTTGAATTTGGAAATTTTGAACAAAAAACGAGTTTATTCAACCTGAAATTCTGAAAAATGGCAAAGCAGGATTTTTTTCATGTTGCTCTTGTATTTTCGAAAAATGGAAACATCCAGGATAAAAAAAAACAAAAACGTAACAACTGAAAAGACGAAAAAATAAAATCTCGACAAATTTAGAAATCCAAAAATAATAAAAAGAGCCAATCTAAAAACTCAAGTACATTCAAAAATCGGAAAATTAAAAAATTGCAAAACAAAAAAGTTAGAAAATGAAAAATTAAAAACAGAAAAATTCAAAAATATTAAAATTGTGGAATCTAGAAAGTAAACTGGAAACCCAAAAAATTGCAAATCAAAACACTGGAAAAAGGAAAAAATAAAAATCGAAAAACTGAAAAAACGTAAAAAAAATAAAATCGAATAATTGAAAAAGCCAAAAGTTCACAACTGAAAAACTTGCTATTATTACAATTTTCATGTGTTCAGTTTTTTGATTTGACGTTTTTCTAATTTTCAATCTTTAGCCTTTTCAATTTTTAGCTTTTAAATAAGCAAGTTTTCGATTTCGAATTTTTAAATTTTGGACAAAAAATCCGAGTTAATTCAAACCAAAATTTTGAAAAATGGTAAAGCAAGAATTTTTTTCATGTTGCTTTTCGAAAAAGGGAAACATCCAAAATAAAAAAAAACAAAAACCGAACAACTGAAAAGACGAAAAAATAAAATCTCGGAAAGTTTAAAAATCCAAAAATAATAATAAAAAGAGCCTATCCAGAAGATGAAGCAACGAAATGTTCAAAAATTACAAAATCTAAAAATTTCAAAATTTAAATGGAAACAAAAAATTGAGCAAACGAAAAATTAAAAATCGAAAAAAGAAAACTCGAAAAATTGAATAAACAAAATTGTAAATTTGAAACTTCAAAAAAAATTTGCAAAACGAGAAATGGAAAAACCGACAAATTCAAAAATATTAAAATTGAAAAATTGTTTTCATGTTGCTCCAGTGTTTTCGAAAAATAGAAACACAAAAAAAAAACAAAAAACCTAACAATTGAAAAGACGCAAAATAAAGTATCGGCAAATTTAGACATCCAAAAATAATAAAAAAAGCCAATCAAAAAAGTGAAGTACATTCAAAATTAAAAAATTAAAAACTTGCAAAATCTAAAAATTTCAAAATTTAAACTGGAAAATAAAAAAATGAGGAAACGAACAATTAAAAACCGAAAAATTCAAAAATATTAAAATTGTGGAGTCTAGGAATTAAACTAGAAACTCAAAAAATTGTAAATCAAAACACTGAAAAAATGAAAAATTAAAAATCGAGAAACTGAAAAAACGTACAAAAATAAAATCGAAAAAGTGAAAAATCCAAAAGTTGAAAAATAAAAAAGTTGCTATTCTTCTAATTTTCATGTCTTCAGTTTTTTGGTTTGCAGTTTTTCTGGTTTTCAATCTTTAGTTTTTTCAATTTTTAGCTTTTAAATAAGCAAGTTCTCTTTTTTGAATTTTTAAATTTTGGACAAAAAAAAATGAGTATATTCAAACCGAAATTTTGAAAAATGGTAAAGCAGGAATTTTTTTCATGTTGCTCTTGTGTTTTCGAAAAATGGAAACATCCAAAATAAAAAACCAAAAAACCTAACAACTGAAAAGACGAAAAATTCAAAAATTGCAAAATCTAAAAATTTCAAAATTTAAACTGGAAACAAAAAATTGAGAAAACGAAAAATTAAAAATCGGAAAAAAGAAATATCGAAAAATTGAGTAAACAAAATTTTAAATTTGAAACTTCAAAAAAATACAAAACGAGAAATTGTAAAACCGAATGAAGCAACGGAATATTCAAAACTCGAAAAATTCAAAAATTGAAAAATCTACAAATTTCAAAATTTAAACTGGAAATTCAAAAAATTGAGGAAACGAAAAATGCAAAAATATTATAATTGTGGAATCTAGGAATTAAACTGGAAACTCAAAAATTTGCAAATCAAAATACTGGAAAAAGGAAAAATTAAAAATGAAAAAGTTGCTATTGTTCAAATTTTCATGTCTTTAGTTTTTGGTTTGAAGTTTTTCTAGTTTTCAATCGTTGGTCTCAATTTTTAGCTTTTAAATAAGCAAGTTCTCGTTTTTGAATTTTTAAATTTTGGACAAAAAACGAGTTTATTCAAGCCGAAATTTTGAAAAATGGTAAACAGGAATTTTTTCATGTTGCTTTTTTTTGGAAAAATTGAAACATCTAATATAAAAAAAAACCTAAATATTGAAAAGACGAAAAAATAATAAAATATCGGCAAATTTAGAAATCCAATAATAATAAAAAGAGCCAATCTAGAAAGTGAAGCGACGAAAAGTTCAAAAATCGACAAATTCAAAAATTGCATAATTTCAAAATTTCAAAATTTGAACTGGAATCTCAAATAATTGCAAATCAAAAAACTGAGGAAACGAAAAATTAGAAATCGAAAAAAAGAAAATTCGAAAAATTGAAAAATCCAAAAGTTCAAAACTGAAAAAATTGCTATTATTCAAATTTTCATGCCCTCAGTTTTTTATTTGCAGTTTTTCTAGTTTTCAATCTTTAGTCTTTTCAATTCTTAACTTTTAAATAAGCAAGCTCTCGTTTTTGAATTTTTAAATTTTGAACAATAAAAACGAGTTTATTCCAACTACAATTTTGAAAAATGGTAAATCAGGAATTTTTTTCATGTTGCTCTTCTCTTTTCGAAAAATGACAACATCCAAAATAAAAAAACCAAAAAACCTAACAACTGAAAATACGAAAAAATAAAATATGAAAAAATTTAGAAATCCAAAAATCATAATAAGGAGATCCAACCTAGAAGGTAAAGCACGAAATGTTGAAAAATCGAAAAATTCAAAAACTGCAAAATCTAAAAATTACAAAATTTAAGCTGTAAACTCAAAAAATCGCAAATCAAAAAATTGAGGAAACGAATAATTAAAAATCCAAAAAGAAAAAATTCGAAAAATTGAATAAATAAAATTTTAAATTTGAAATTTCAAAAAAAATTGCAATTGACAAACCGAAAAATTCAAAAATATTAAAATTGTGGAATCTAGAAATTAAACTGGAAACTCAAAAAATTGCAAATCAAAAAACTGAGGAAACGAAAAACTAAAAATCGAAAAAAGAAAATTCGAAAAATTGAATAAACAAAATTTTAAATTTGAAACTTCAAAAAAAAAATGCAAAACGAGAAATTGAAAAACCGAAAAATTCAAAAATATTAAACTATGTAATTTTTAATATTTCAGTTGCTCACGTAGATTTCAGGAAGAATTGCTGGTTGCATTTAGGGTAACAAAGGCGCCTAAATCGAACTTGCCTGCCGTCTAGCGTTCCACCTGTACAATAACAAATTCACTACTTGTCTTAAATCACATATATTTAGCCTCATTGACATCTGCTTATCTTCACCGCTATATAAATATCTACTGCGGTTACTTCGTTGAATTTAACACAATCATATGATAAGACAAAGGAAATTGCTGTGACGAGAAAAGAGATAAACGCAACATAAAATCCACGTGATAAAAAAACGACACGCGTCAAAAATCAATCAAGAAATTTCATTCGCAGTCGCCGTTCCCACAAAAATTTAAAAAAATCAAAAATTGCAGGACAATTGGCTTCCGTTTTTTGAATCTCTGTTTCATCAAATTCCCACCGTCTGCGTTGCACACTTAGCGACATCCTCCCATTATCCATGTATGGTTTTCCCCACTACTCAGCCCGCGCTATCGCTCAATGTTAAACACTAATTTTGTAGTGCAGCAACAATAAACATGTTAGTTTATTATTCTCCACGCTGTCTCCGTTTTTTTCGAAAATACCGACCCTACACACGTCATTCTCCGAAAATGTGAGTTACACAGTACCACAAAAATAATAACAAAATAATGCGAAGAGCAACAAGAGCGCATCTTTATAAATATGTGACCAAATGACCTTAAGTGCGGAAGATAAACCAGTGCTCGATGTGTTGCCTGTGGGAATGCAAAATTGTGCGCTTGTCCTCAAGGATGAAGATGGGAACGACTTCGGTACCGAGCTGGAGCACATTTCCGGTGGCAGCGACTCAACCATTACTCCCGCCGCAATTAATATTGAAAATTCCAGTGACGTTATCATAGGACCGGTTACTCAGTTTAATGGACCTGTTACCATTTACCAGAACGTCGCAGGGAACGGAGTACCAGCGAGTATCGCAGAAAACGAATCCGTGGATAATAAGCCCAATGGTACATGTTGCAATGGTTTGTTTATTTAATTTATTGTTATTTCCGCGAATATTATCGCATGTTTGCGTTTGGTTTATAAGAACTTGTAGTGATGCACTTTGTGTTTAAACTTAATCAAGTTTAGTCTGGAGTCAAATCGGTAGGAAAAACCGCTTTCAACTCGATTGATTTTCAAGTGTGCATTGTTTTTAAAAAAATGTTTTTTATTGTCTAGTAGATAGATTAGCTTGGTGATGTAAACGAGGTCAAACCACCAAATTATATCTAAGCTGAGGCTATTAAATAATGAAATGCAGTGCACTTGAGTTGCATTATTGATTTCTTTGCCACTTTCTCGAGCTTGTCTACACAAGGTAACTAGTGGATTTTATAATTAGAACAACCGAATTTTTTTAGTACTTTAAATACAACTTTTTTATTTTCTTTTCATACAGTGGTACTAATGTGAAAAGTATCTGAATTTTTAAACGACTTATTCTTCGTAATTTTTCCTGCAAATTCACCCAATAACCCAAATAATTATCACACATGCCCACTTTAAGGCCGTATCGATTATAATAACACCAATCACAATGATAACTGAGGATAGATTACGGTGTTTTACGAACTCACTGATGCTGTAAATACATTATTATAATCAGCAACCGGTTATTATTTTTTGTTTACACTAGAATATATTCAACCTTGGTTCGTTCTTCGAAAAACGAGATGAATAAGTCTGTTCAGCAAACGTACGTAGGAATGTTTTTCTCGAATTAATCATTTAAATTTGACTAATTTCTAAAAAAAAATTATTCTTTAAACAAGCAACTCTTCGTTTTCATAAAAAATACCATTATCAAATCAACAGCCGCTTTCAACAAGCATTCTTACTTTGAAACCTTACAAATATTTGCAAAATTTACTCTAATTGTAAATTTGTTTCGTTCAAGTACACCCCGTTTCATTACAAACAAATTTCCCATCTCACCTTCGCCAACCCACCAAAAATACACCTTTTCGCGAAAGTCGCAAAATTCAAACGCGCAATACAGCCGAGTCGAGGATCTTTGTATATTTTGTTTAAAATATTTTACATCAAAACATTCAACCAATATAGATATTGTTTACATAATTCGGATTGATGCTAAACGGAAGGTATGGATTTCTTTAATAGCATTTGAATCGAAGAGCAGACGTGAAACGACTTCAAGTTCGCTCGCATAAATTTAGATTCGTCCGAGTTAAATTTAAAAATCGTCAATGAGTATGACAATTATGTGCCCGCTCATGAAGCTCATCAGGGTTAATTCGCGCCACAGGCAGAAGAGTTATGTGTCGAGGAGCCAAAGCGGTGAGTGAGTTTTTGTTGTGGAGTAACGCCAAATTTGGTTTCGAAATTTTAAGTGTTCCCAAATCTAATCTCTGCAGACTTACTTGAAGTAACTGAATATTTTTCAAAATTTTGTTATTTATTTTTTCACGTGTCCACACGGTTTCAAACATCTAGAATTTAAAAAAAACTGAAATTTTGTACTGCCACAAAAAATTGGTTGAAGGAAATTCTAGTTCTTTGAAAAATTCTAAAAAAGTAAAGTTTTGATTTGCAATTTTCCAGTTTCTCAATTTTCCAAAATTTTTCAATTTTTAGATTTATAATTTTTCGTTGCGATTTTTTATTTTTTGAATTTTTCCTTTCTTTATTTTGTGTTTCGATTTTTTATCTTCTTTATTTTTACAAGTTTTTCCAAAAGCACAATTTTTCAATACATTCCCTATGAAATTTTTTGTAATTTTTCCACAAGCTTCCAAAATTTGCTAAAAATATTTTTTTCAAGAAGTCAACACCTAGGAGTTTTTTTTCTTTTTCTAAAAAGTCTTAACAAACAGTAGCCCCGCCCACCCACCCCCTCTTCATTTCAATGACAACTTTTAATACTGTTCAGTATTATCTTAGCAAGTACTAGGCCCGCCCACCCACCCTCTATTTTCTTAGAAAATTTGTCATTTGCCAAAATCAGTCCTATCTTAGCAACTAGGCCCGCCCACCTGCCCTCTATTTCTATCAGAAAATCGTAGTTTCACTTGTAACAGTTTTCAAAATTTGACTAATTTTGTTCCCAAATTTCAAAGTATAATCTCTGTAGACTTACTTGAAGTAACTGAATATTTTTCAAAATTTTGTTATTTATTTTTTCATGTATCCACACGGTTCAAATATCTACAATTAAAAAAAAAACGAAATTTTGTACTACCGCAAAAAATTTGGTTGAAGATTATTTCGACACAACTTCTTTCTCGCCTAAAATGCAGCCCAACAAGTTCCAGTTCTTTGAAAATTCTAAAAAAGTAAAGTTTTGATTTGCAATTTTTCAGTTTCTTAATTTTTCAATTTTTAATTTGTAATTTTTCGTTTCAGTTTTTTATTCTTTATTGTTTCTTGTTTTTTCAATTTTAATTTTTTTGGTGTTTTGTTTCTTCAATTTTTCGTTTCGCGATTTTATAATTTTTGAATTTTTTGTTTCCTCAATTTTTACATTTTAGTTATTTTGAGTTTTGGTTTTTTATCTTCTTTATTTTTACAACTTTTTACAAAAGCACAATTTTTCAATACATTCCCATTAAATTTTGTATCCCCTCTTCATTCCAATAACAACTTTTAATATTGTTCAGTCTTATCCTAGCAAATACTAGCCCCGCCCACCCGCCCCTATTTTCTTAAAGATTATGTCATGTGCCAAAATCACTTTTATCATAGCAAGTACTAAACCCGCCCACCCGGGTTCTTCTCATTTTAACTATTAATTTTTTATTTCTATATAATGTAAGATCCACCTGTCATTCAGAGTAGACAAATGAATCATCGAAATGAAGGTGGGTGGGTGGGCGGGTCTAGTTCTTGCTCCTAAGTCTATTGAAAAATTTGAACATAGAACCGCCCACCTCCTTCATTTGACTAACTGATTTTATTTATTATGAAATGGGAGTTGAATTCTATTTTGACAAGCAGAATAATCTAAGATTTAAAACAAAGTCAAAAGTGCTAGCCCCACCCACATGCCCGCCCTCCGTTTTCGTAGAAGATATGTCATTTGGCAAATTCAGTCTTACCGTAGCAAGTACTAGCCCCACCCACCCGCCCCTATTTTCTTAGAAGGTATGTGATTTGCCAAAGTCAGTTTTATCACAGGAAGTATTAACTCCGCCCACCCGGTTTCTTCTCACTTTCACTACTAATTTTATTTTATTTAGTATAAGATCCACCTTCCATTCAGAGTAAACAAATGAATCACTGAAATGACGGTGGGCGGGTGGGCGGGGCTAGTTCTTGCTCCAAAGTCTATTGAAAAGCTGAACATAGCCCTGCCCACTTCCTTCTTCATTTGACTAACTGATTTTATTTATTGTGAAATGGGAGTTGAATTATATTTTGACAAGCGGAAAAATCTAAGATTTAAAACAAAGTCCAAAGTGGCCCCTCCCCCAGACCCCTATTCCGTTTTGATCATTCATTTTTATTGATTCTGAAGAAAGATTTTCAGGAGTTTTCAATTTTTAATTATTATTCACTTTTTCGAATTTTCAACTTTTGATGTCTACAATTTTTCGAAGTGCATTTTTTTAATTTTTCATTTTTTTTTTTGTTAGTACTTGTTAAGAGAAAACTGATTTTGACAAATCATATACACTCTAAGAAAAGAGAGGGTGGGTGGGTGGGGCTAGTCTTGTTAAAGTAAGACTGAACAATAATAAAAGTAGTCATTGGAACGAAAAGAGACTCTTTGGAAAAAAAAAGCTAACCTCAGCTCCGCCCACCTTTTTTCTCTATTTCACTGACTTAATGAATTCTATTTTGACAAGTGGTAGAATCTAAGGTATAAAACAATGTCAAAAGAGCTAGCCCCGCCCACCAGCCCGTCCTATATTTTGTTAGAGGGTATATCATTTGTCAAATTCAGTCTTATCGTAGCAGGTACTAGCCCCACCCACCCGCCCCTATTTTCTTAGAAGGTATGTCATTTGCCAAAGTCAGTTTTATCATAGCAAGTATTTACCCCGCCCACCCAGTGTCTTCTCATGTTCACTACTAATTTTATTTTATTTAGTATAAGATCCACCTTTCATTCAGAGTAGACAAATGAATCACTGAAATGACGGTGGGTGGGTGGGTGAGGTTAATTCTTGCTCGAAAGACTATTGAAAAAGGTGAACATAGCCCCGCCCACTTCCTTCTTCATTTGACTAAGTGATTTTATTTATTGTGAAATGGGAGTTGAATTCTATCTTGACAAGCGGAAGCATCTAAGATTTAAAACAAAGTCAATAGTGTTAGCCCCACCCCCATGCCCGCCCTCCGTTTTCTTAGAAGGTATATCATTTGCCAAATTCAGTCTTACCGTAGCAGGTACTAGCCCCACCCACCCGCCCCTATTATTTTAGAAGGTAAGTGATTTGCCAAAGTCAGTTTTATCATAGCAAGTATTTACCCCGCCCACCCGGTTTCTTCTCATTTTCACTACTAATTTTATTTTATTTAGTATAAGATCCACCTTTAACTCAGAGCTGACAAATGAATCACTGAAGTGACGGTGGGTGCGTGGGCGGGGCTAGTTCTTGCTCCAAAGTCTATTGAAAAAGCTGAACATAGCCCCGCCCACTTCCTTCTTCATTTGACTACCTGATTTTATTTATTGTAAACTGGGAGTTGAATTCTATTTTGACAATCGGAAGAATCTAAGGTTTAAAACAAAGTCAAAAGTGCTAGCCCCACCCGAATGCCCGCCCTCCGTTTTCTTAGAAGGTATATCATTTGCCAAATTCAGTCTTACTGTAGCAGGTACTAGCCCCACCCACCCGCCCCTATTTGTTTAGAAAGTAAGTGATTTGCCAAAGTCAGTTTTATCATAGCAAGTATTAACCCCGCCCACCCGGTTTCTTCTCATTTTCACTACTAATTTTATTTTATTTAGTATAAGATCTACCTTTCATTCAGAGTAGACAAATGAATCACTGAAATGACGGTGGATGGGTGGGCGGGGCTAGTTCTTGCTCCAAAGTCTATTGAAAAAGCTGAACATAGCCCCACCCACTTCCTTCTTCATTTGTCTAACTGATTTTATTTATTATGAAATGGGAGGTGAATTCTATCTTGACAAGCGGAAGGATCTGAGATTTAAAAGGAAGTCAAAAGTGCTAGCCCCACCCACTAGCCCGTCCTCTATTTTCTTAGAGGGTAGGTCATGTGCCAAAACCCCCTTTATCGTAACAAGTATTTTTTTTTTATTCGCCGTGAACCAAGGGGGCGGAGCTTTTAATTTCTCGTAGAGAGACAAGGATTTTGCAGTTAAGCTCCGCCTTCTTGGCTCATGACGAATAAAAAAAACATTACAATTGAGATAGGGCGGGTGGGCTGGGCTACATTTTGCCTTTTTTTCTTAATATGTGTAGACGTAGTTCGACAACAAGAAACTTAAAACATGTCCAAAATTGGAAATTTTTGTAGTAATCAACTTAAATCCCCCACTTTTCTTCTACAACCCCTTTAAATACGGCAAAAGTTGAACATCAAAGTTACCTGATGGAGTCGATTAAAATACTTCCTTAGCTTACGCTGGGGAATAAAAATGGGAAAATTGCAAAATTGAAAAATCAAAATGAAAAAACGTAAAATTTTTTTAGAAGTACAAAATATAAACTTTGAAAAATATAAAAGTTGGAAATCAAGAACTTGAAAAATTGAAAAAGCGTAAGATCAAAATTGAGAAACTAAAAAATTGAAAAGATGCAAAATCGAGAACATGAAATATTGTAAAATCGAAACATGAAAATTAAGGAAATCGGAAAATCGAGAAATTCAAAAGTTGCACAACAGAAAAATTTAAAAATTGGCAAACCGAGGAACTTTAAAAATCAGAGATTGAAAATTTGAAAAATTTAATAAACGAAAAATTATAAAATCGAAAAAAGGATTAAAAAAAGGAAATGAAAAAACGAAAAAGTGTGTTATAAAATCGAGAAAAAGAAAAAAGAATTGGGAAAAATAAAAATAAAAATCAAAAACTTGAGAAATTGAGGAAACGAAGAATTGAAAAATTGCAAATCGATAAATTGAAACGAAAAACTGAATCATTTGAAAGTCGAGAAATTGAAAAATTAAAAAAAAATAAAAATCGAAAAAACGAAAAATTGTAGGATCGAATAAAAAGGGAAAACGAAAAATTATGATTTCGTACTCTGGAGGTCATAAACGTGGAAAAACACGAAAGTGGCAATTCGCCCGATTTTTATCAGTATTTATAAATCCAAAATTTTAAAAATCCCCCACCTAAATATCATACGCATTTTCAAAAATAACTAAACGAGTGGAAGAAACCATGGAAGTTTATTAAAGCGCAGCTTACATAAAATATCCTCCTATCAAGGACCTTTAACTATATTCTACGAAATCCTGGTACTTGATAATGTTAATAAATTAAACACTCAATTTTGCTAATCTTCACACACTTTGCGTCACAGATTAAATACCTACTCCGTGCAATAAATATTATCCGTTTGTAAACAATTTTTTCGCAGCTCATAGGCCGTCATAGCCATCACTAACGCCACCCCAGCCACCCACATTTTACCAATTTTTTACATATTTTAGGTCTCCTTTATTAATACACCATAAACAAAACTGTATATTTAATTAGTTCCGGTCTATCTCCCAGACCCAAATATTTACACTTTGTCAGATCCAACCGATTACACCGACAAGACAGATAAGATTAAACACAAATCCCAAAAATATTAAATTTTGGCTCCTCTAACACGTTCTTCTTTTTCGCTCCAGGAAAACTCGTCAAGTCCGAAAGCACTTCGTCCGATTCGCCGCCACAGTCCTCGGAAAAATCGAAGAAAATCTTCACGTACTCCAAACACCTGAAGTACCTTGGAATTTTTGCGGGGGTACTAGTGGTGGTTGTGGTGGTAGCAACAGCAGCAGTACTCTCGTTGAAGAACGAAGCTGATAAACCCCCTCATGGTCGACCTACCGAGAATCCACACACAGCGATACCGTCCGTCATTCCTAGGACCACCACAAAACCAGGGAATCGTAACGACACTCTTATACCTGCAGGGCCTGGACTCATCATCGAGAAGGACAAATGGGGCGGAAGAGCGTCTTTGAATTGGACTACATCTCTCATTCTTGAACATCCGACAAATTTTGTTATTATAATGCATACTGTAACTCCGCAGTGTCACACTTTTGATGAATGTAGTACCAGAGTTCGATCTATGCAAAGTCAACATGTCGGCACAGGAGCGAGTCCTGATATAAGGTACAATTTTGTGGTAGGAGGAGATGGCAATGCGTACGTGGGAAGAGGATGGGATATGAAAAACGCCGGACAATCAGATGCCATCGGAATTAGTTTTATAGGAGATTACGTTTATGATTACTTGACGCCCGAAATGATCGACATTACGAAGAAGCTTATAAATATAGGGGTTGAAAAGGGGAAACTCGCTAAAGATTACAAGCTGGTGGCTCACAATCAAACATATGCTACTATAAGCCCTGGCCCACATGTTTACGAAGTGATCAAAAACTGGCCACATTTTGACCCTACGAGGTATATTTGATTTGTAGATCTGTTATTTGTGACGTTCTGTTTTATCAGATTTTATTGTGATTGCTTGTTGGTATAGACTAAAAGTCAACGAACGCGGAAGTGCTAGTCATAAAAATGTGCTGTAAACGTACCTAGTGTTGTAAATTGGTAGGTGGTAAATAATTTTTAGTTACGTACTTATTTCGTAATCGTAGAAATAGATATTGTACGTGAAAATGTATTTGTTACGAAATTTGTTAAAATTCTGATTTTAATACGAGGGCATTGTAAATATCTGCTCAGAATTATAAATCAGTCCACAAATATAATGTACCTTAATCAAGTTTTTGTTACTGTTTTCTTAGAGGGTGTTAATGGTCACGGATCCAATTTCTGCTAATTGTTTGGAAGGGAATAATTTTAAACATTAATAAACAAGAAGGATATCTTCCAGCAGGTGGAGGTCGGTCCGAAAAGGTTAAAAAAGTTCTAAGTCTATTCCATATATGTGTAAAAATCGTCATCATCAGCCGGTTAAAAGCTACAACTAATTAAAGTCACAAACATTTTTAACCACATTTTGATGTGGTAAACTGTAATTTTAAAATTCGAAAATCGTGATTAGTTTTTGAAAGAATCTTCGGAACACCGAATGCCTTTTAACTTCCGCAGCGTAAGCCTGGGAACGAAAAAAGTGGTATCATGTAGATGGTTACAAACTGACTAAAATTTGGCTAATCGTTCCCACCACCAATTGGATGACGTCATGTTTAAAATTTATAATTAAAAGTTTTTTTAATTTCATAGAATAAGACACTCCTGCACTTGTGGTGTGTGAATAACAGTACTTTGCAATATAACTTTGAAACTGCAAAACTGAATACCCTGAAATCTTCTAAGTATTAAGGTAATCGTAATCATGGTAAACTGTTAAGCAAAATTTTTCCGAATAAATCCTATCCAAAATATGCAAATTATGATGAGTTTATACTTGTGATTTATCATTGCATTAAAAGTTTTTAAATTTCTTATACAAGGTGACTCACAAAAATTAATGAATGAGTTATTTTTTTTATTAAATCGGGAACGGTTGACTCCGTTTTCCCGAAAATTTGGGAATACAATACTGTTATCATTAGTATTACGCTGAAAAAAAAAAGTGATACAAAATTGATAATTGATTTCTTATTTCATGCACTAGACCTAACTTCAACTAATTTTCGGACATAGCGGAAACATGGTCGAAAATGTCAAACTTGCCGAAATCAGTCTTATTCTATCAAATATTAGCCCCGCCCGCCCACCCTCTATTTTCTTAGAGGGTATGTCATTTGCCAAAGTTAGTCTTATCTTAGCAAATATTTGTCCCGCCCACCCGCCCTCTATTTTTTGGAAGGAATGACATTTGCCAAGATCAATCTTATCTTAACAAGGACTAACCCGAGCTCCGTCTACCCCCTTCCCTCCTTCTCATTTTAACGACTATTTTGATTTCAGTTCAGTATAAGAACATTCATTTCAGACAGGGTGGGTGGGAGGGGCTAATTATGTTCTTAAGTAAAAAACGGCACTAATCTTTTTTCGTCATACTATTTGTCATACTATTTGTTACAAAATTGATTTCTTATTTCATGCATCTAATCTAACTTCAACAAATTTTCGGATACAGTTGAAAAATGGTCGAAAATGTCAAAAGTGCCAAAATCAGTCTTATCCTATGAAATACTAGCCCCACCCGTCCATCCTTTATTTGTTTAGGGGATATGTCATTTGCCAAAGTTGGTCTTATCTTAGCAAATATTAGCCCCGCCCACCCACCCTTCATTTTCTTGGAAGGAATGACATCTGCTAAAATCAATCTTATCTTAACAATGATTAGCCCCGCCCTCCCTCTTCTCATTTGAAAGACTATTTTTATTTCAGTTCAATATAAGAACATTCATTTAATTCAGATCGAATAAAATCAAACACTGAAAAGGAGACAGGGTGGATGGGCGGGGCTAATTAGGTCTTTTTGTCGAGTGGGGGTGGAAACTAATAATAGAATCTAGGATGTGAAAAAATAAAAAATAGCGCTAATCGTAACTTGTTTTGGTATACTATATATTTGCTACAAAAATGATTTCTTATTTCATGCAACTGACTTAACTTCAACTAATTTTCGGATATAGTTGAAAAATGGTCGAAAATATCAAAAGTGCCAAAGTTAGTCTTATCTCAACAAGTATTAGCCCCGCCCACCCACCCTCTATTTTCTTGGAAGGTATGACCTTTGCCAAAATCAATCTTATCTTAACAAGGACTACTCCCGCCCACCCCCCACTTCTCATTTTAATGTTATTTTTATTTCTGTTCAGTATAAGAAAATTCATTTCATTCAGATAGAACGAGAAGAGAATAAAATTAATCACAGAAAAGGAGATAGGGTGGGTGGGCGGGGCTAATTATGTTTTTCTGTCGAGTAAGAGTGGACTCTAATAATAGAATCTAGGACATAAAAAAGTAAAAAACGGCGCTAATTGTAACTTACTTGCTACAAAATTGATTTCTTACTTTCGTGCATCTGACATAACTTCAACTAATTTTTGGATGTAGTTGAAAAATGGTCGAAAATGTCAAAAGTACCAAAATCAGTCCTATCCTATCAAATACTACCTCTGCCCGCCCACACTAAATTTTCTTAGAGAATATGTCATTTGCCAAAGTTAGTCGTATCTTAGCAAATATTAGCCCCGCCCACCCGCCCTTTATTTTCTTGGAAGGAATAACATTTGCCAAAGTCAATCTTATCTTAACACGAACTAGCTCCAGTCCCGCCTACCCCCTTCCCTCTTTCTCATTTTAACGACTATTTTGATTTCAGTTCAGTATAAGTACAATCATTTCATTCAGATCGAATAAAATCAATCACTGAAAACGAGACAGGGTGGGTGGGCGGGGCTAATTCTTTTCTTAAGTAAAAAACGGCACTAATCGTTACTTTTTTGTCATACTATTTGTTACAAAATTGATTTCTTATTTCATGCATCTAATCGAACTTCAACAAATTTTCGGATATAGTTGAAAAATGATCGAAAATGTGAAAAGTGCCAAAATCAGTCTTATCCTATGAAATACTAGCCCCGCCCGTCCACCCTTTATTTGTTTAGGGGATATGTCATTTGCCAAAGTTGGTCTTATCTTAGCAAATATTAGCCCCGCCCACTCACCCTTCATTTTCTTGGAAGGAATGACATCTGCCAAAATCAATCTTATCTTAACAAGGATTAGCCCCGCCCCTTCCTCTTCTCATTTGAAAGACTATTTTTATTTCAGTTCAGTATAATAACATTCATTTCATTCAGATCGAATAAAATCAATCACTGAAAACGAGACAGGGTGGGTGGGCGGAGCTAATTATGTTTTTCTGTCGAGTAGGAGTGGAAACTAATAAAAAAATAGCGTTGATGGTAACTTGTTTTGTTATTCTATTTGTTACAAAATTGATTTCTTATTTCATGCACCTGACCTAACTTCAACTAATTTTCGGACAAAGCGGAAACATGGTCGAAAATGTCAAACTTGCCAAAATCAGTCTTATTCTATCAAATACTAGTACCGCCCACCCACCCTCTATTTTCTTAGAGCGTATGTCATTTGCCAAAGTTAGTTTTATCTTAGCAAATATAAGCCCCGCCCACCCGCCCTCTTTTTTCTTGGAAGGAATGACATCTGCCAAAATCAATCTTGTCTTAACAAGCTCTAGTCCAAACCACGCCTACCCACCCTTCTTTTCCTTTTAACAGCTATTTTTATTTCTGTACAGTATAAGAACATTCATTTCATACAGAGCGAATAAAATCAATCACTGAAAAAGAGACAGGGTGGGTGGGCGGGGCTAATTATGTTCTTAAGTAAAAAACGGCACTAATCGTAAACTTTTTTGTCATACTATTTATTACAAAATTGATTTCTTATTTCATGCATCTAATCTAATTTCAACTAATTTTCGGATATAATTGAAAAATGGGCGAAAATGTCGAAAGTGCCAAAATCAATCCTATCCTATCAAATACTAGCCCCGCCCGCCCACCCTCTTTTTTCTTAGAGGATATGTCATTTACCAAAGTTAGTCCTACCTTAACAAATATTATCCCCGCCCACCCGCCCTCTATTTTCTTGGAAGCTATGACATTTGCCAAAATCAATCTTATATTAACAAGGACTAGCCCCGCCCTCCACCTCTTCTTATCATTTTAATAACTATTTCGATTTCAGTTCAGTATAAGAACATTCATTTCATTCAGATCGAATAAAATGAATCACTGAAAAGGAGACAGGGTGGGTGGGCGGGGCTAATTATATTTTTCTCTAGAGTGGGAGTGGAAACTAATAGTAGAATCTAGGATATAAAAAATTAAAAAAGGGCGCTAATCGTAACTTTTTTTTGTTATACTATTTGTTACAAAATTGATTATTTTGTTTCATACATCTGCCCTGACGTCATCTAATTTTCGGATATAGTTGAAAAATGGTCGAAAATGTCAAAAGTGCCAAAAATCAGTCTTATCCTATCAAATACTAGCCCGGCCCGCTCACACTCTATTTTCTTAGAGAGTATGTCAATTGCCAAAGTTGGTCTTATCTTAGCAAGTATTAGCCCCGCCCACCCGCCCTTTAGTTTCTCGGAAGGAATGACATTTGCCAAAATCAATGTTATCTTAACAAGGACTAGCCCCGTCCACCCCCCTCTTATCATTTTAACGACTATTTTATTTCAGTTCAGTATAAGAACATTCATTTCATTCAGACCGAATAAAATCAATCACTGAAAAGGAGACAGGGTGGGTGGGCAGGGCTAATTATTTTCTTCTGTCGAGTGGGAGTGGAAACTAATAAAAAATAGCGCTAATCGTAACTTGTTTTGTTATTCTATTTGCTACAATATTGATTTCTTATTTCATGCATCTAATCTGATTTCAACTAATTTTCGGATATAGTTGAAAAATGGTCGAAAATGTCGAAAGTGCCAAAATCAATCCTATCCTATCAAATACTAGTCCCGCCCGCCCACCCTTTTTATTCTTAGAGGATATGTGATTTACCAAAGTTAGTCCTATCTTAACAAATATTATCCCCGCCCACCGCCCTCTATTTTCTTGGAAGCTATGACATTTGCCAAAATCAATCTTATATTAACAAGAACTAGCCCCGCCCTCCACCTCTTCTTATCATTTTAACAACTATTTCGATTTCAGTTCAGTATAAGAACATTCATTTCTTTCAGATCGAATAAAATGAATCACTGAAAAGGAGACAGGGTGGGTGGGCGGGGCTAATTATATTTTTCTCTAGAGTGGGAGTGGAAACTAATAGTAGAATCTAGGATATAAAAAATTAAAAAAGGGCGCTAATCGTAACTTTTTTTTGTTATACTATTTGTTACAAAATTGATTATTTTGTTTCATACATCTGCCCTGACGTCATCTAATTTTCGGATATAGTTGAAAAATGGTCGAAAATGTCAAAAGTGCCAAAAATCAGTCTTATCCTATCAAATACTAGCCCCGCCCGCCCACCCTCTTTTTTCTTAGAGGATATGTCATTTACCAAAGTTAGTCCTACCTTAACAAATATTATCCCCGCCCACCCGCCCTCTATTTTCTTGGAAGCTATGACATTTGCCAAAATCAATCTTATATTAACAAGAACTAGCCCCGCCCTCCACCTCTTCTTATCATTTTAACAACTATTTCGATTTCAGTTCAGTATAAGAACATTCATTTCATTCAGATCGAATAAAATGAATCACTGAAAAGGAGACAGGGTGGGTGGGCGGGGCTAATGATATTTTTCTTTAGAGTGGGAGTGGAAACTATACTAGAATCTAGGATATAAAAAATTAAAAAGGGCGCTAATCGTAATTTTTTTGTTTATACTACTTGTTACAAAATTGATTATTTTATTTCATGCATCTAATCTAATTTCAACTAATTTTTGGATATAGTTAAAAAATTGTCGAAAATATCAAAAGTGCCAAAATCAATCCTATCCTATCAAATACTAGCCCCGCCCACCCACTCTCTTTTTTCTTAGAGGGTATGTCATTTGCCAAAGTTAGTCTTAACTTAGCAAATATTAGCCCCGCCCACCCGCCCTCTGTTTTCTTGGAAGCTATGACATTTGCCAAAATCAATCTTATGTTAACAAGGACTAGCCCCGCCCTCCACCTCTTCTTATCATTTTAACGACTATTTTGATTTCAGTTCAGTATAAGAACATTCATTTCATTCAGATCGAATAAAATCAATCACTGAAAAGGAGATAGGGTGGGTGGGCGGAGCTAATTATGTTTTTCTGTCAAGTGGGAGTGGAAACTAATAATGGAATCTAGAATGTAAAAAAAGTAAAAAATAGCGCTAATCGTAACTTGTTTTGTTATACTATTTGCTACAAAATTGATTTCTTATTTCATGCACCTGACCTAACTTCAACTGATTTTTGGAGATAGTTGAAAAATGATCGAAAATATCAAATTTGCCAAAATCAGTCTTATTCTATCAAATACTAGCCCCGCATGTCCATTCTTTATTTGTTTAGGGGATATGTCATTTAGCAAAGTTAGTCTTATTTAGCAAATATTAGCCCCGCCCACCCTCCCTTTAGTTTCTTGGAAGGAATGACATTTGCCAAAGTCAATCTTATCTTAACAAGGACTAGCTCCAGTCCCGCCTACCCCCTTCACTCCTTCTCATTTTAACGACTATTTTGATTTCAGTTCAATATAAGAAGATTCATTTCATTCAGATCGAATAAAATCAATCACTGAAAACGAGACAGGGTGGGTGGGCGGAGCTAATTCTTTTCTTAAGTAAAAAACGGCACTAATCGTTACTTTTTTGGCATACTATTTGTTACAAAATTGATTTCTTATTTCATGCATCTGATCGAACTTCAAGTAATTTTCGGATATAGTTGAAAAATGATCGAAAATGTGAAAAGTACCAAAATCAGCCTTATCCTATGAAATACCAGCCCCGCCTGTCCACCCTTTATTTGTTTAGGGGATATGTCATTTGCCAAAATTGGTCTTATCTTAGCAAATATTAGCTCCGCCCACCCACCCTTCATTTTCTTGGAAGGAATGACATCTGCCAAAATCAATCTTATCTTAACAAGGATTAGCCTCGCCCTTCCCTCTTCTCATTTGAAAGACTATTTTTATTTCAGTTCAGTATAAGAACATTCATTTCATTCAGATCGAATAAAATCAATCTCTGAAAAGGAGACAGGGTGGGTGGGCGGGGCTAATTATGTTTTTCTGTCAAGTGGGAGTGGAAATTAATAATAGGATCTAGAATGTGAAAAAGTAAAAAGTAGCGCTAATCGTAACTTGTTTTGTTATACTATTTGCTACAAAATTGATTTCTTATTCATGCACCTGACCTAACTTCAACTAATTTTCGGACATAGCAGAAAAATGGTCGAAAATGTCAAACTTGCCAAAATCAGTCTTATCCCTATCAAATACTAGCTCCGCTCGTCCATCCTTTATTTGTTTAGGGGACATGTCATTTGTCAAAGTTAGTCTTATCTTAGCAAATATTAGCCCCGCCCACCCACCCTTCATTGTCTTGGAAGGAATGACATCTGCCAAGATTAATCTTATCTTAACAAGGTCTAGTCCCAGCCCCGCCTACCCACCCTTCTTCTCATTTTAACGACTATTTTTATTTCTGTTCAGTATAAGAACATTCATTTCATTCAGACCGAATAAAATCAATCACTAAAAAGGAGACAGGGTGGGTGGGCGGGGCTAATTATGTTCTTCTGTCGAGTGGGAGTGGAAACTATTAATAGAATCTAGGATGTAAAAAATTAAAAAAGGGCGCAAATCGTAACTTTTTTTTGTCATATTATTTGTTACAAAATTGAATTCTTATTTCATGGATCTGACCTAACTTAACTAATTTTCAGATATAGCTGAAAAATGGTCGAAAATGTCAAAAGTACCAAAATCAGTCTTATCCTATGAAGTATATACTGGCCCCGCTCGTCCATCCTTTATTTGTTTAGGGGATATGTCATTTGCCAAAGTTAATCTTATCTTAGCAAATATTAGCCCCGCCCACCCGCCCTCTATTTTCTTGGAAGCAATGACATTTGCCAAAATCAATCTTATGTTAACAAGGACTAGCCCCGCCCTCCACCTCTTCTTATCATTTTAACGACTATTTTGATTTCAGTTCAATATAAGAACATTCATTTCATTCAGATCGAATAAAATCAATTACTGAAAAGGAGACAGTGTGGGTGGGCGGGGCTAATTATATCTTCCTGTCGAGTGGGAGTGGGAACTAATAGAATCTAGAATGTGAAAAAAGTAAAAAAAAGCGTTAATCGTAATTTTTACTTCCCGAGCGTAACAGAACTCTCTTGTTTTACGTTTTCTCGACGTTTCATAACCTCTACTAGAGTACGAAATAGATCTCCCCTTTCCGTCTGAAGGAAGCTCTGTCGAAACAACTTTCGACCAATTTTTTAGAATATAAAATAATGTTTGGGGGTTCTTGGGTTTTATATTTGACTTGGATCCGTGTTTTTTAAATTTTTTGATGACTTTAAAATTATCTTAAGAGTCTGTTTTAGAATACTAACGAATCTTCGGAATCCCTCGTGCTGTTTTCTCTTTGAAAGAATTTGAAAAAACTCAGGGAACCCTTGTCATTTTGTTTTTGAAAGCGTTTGAAAATCTTGCTTGTCAAGAGTTTAAAGAATCACTTAGCAGTTTTTTTAAGAAAGTCGAAAATCTGTATTTCACTTTGTGTTTTTTAAATATGTAAAAGAATTTTAACTATTTCTGGTGTTCTTTGTTTTTGAAAGAGTTTGAAATGAATCTGGAGACATCTAGTACTTTTATTTAAGAATGTCCAAGAATCTCTAGAGGCGCTTGTCCTGTTTTTAAAAAAATAAAAAAAAAATCGGGGAATATTCAAAATTTTGCAAATCAAGATTTCGAAGAATCGAAGTACAGAAAATTCTGAAATCGAAAATTCGAAAAAGGAAAACTTGAAAATTCGAAATCGATTTTATTCCCTTGGTGTCTAAGGTAAAATTCAACACGGACTCATAAACTACGAGTTCGGGAGTATCTTATTTTATAAAATTTACGTAACATTACTAATGTAACTTTTGGAGATGACTTCAGTGGTGATAATTAGCCAAATTTTTATTAGCGTCTTACACGACAATCCTAGTACACACATAAAATTTTACAACAATCGGTCCATTCGACGATTTAAAACGAAACAAACTTCCACAAACTGCGCAATTTTTATTTAAAATTACAATAACAGCAATGATTTAATCAATCCCAAAATACAACAGCCATGATAAACTTTAACATTGCAAGTGATAATTAGAAAACTGTCTCGATCAATCTAGTTGCTTTGTAGTCACTGGAGTACCAATGGCTTCACTAAATTCAACTTCCCAAGAAAACAGTAAGCTTTCACACCGTCAAAAATTAATAGCAATCTTGGTCTTATTTCAGTTTTAGACTGCGAAAATGGTGTTTCCACTACACCCACACACACATACGACAAATGGATTACAGTAGTTGCAGTAGCCTTATTAATAGGAATTTTTGTCGGACTACTCTGCTACTACTGGACAAATTCATCCACGGATCAAGATGACAACGTCGGAAAAGAACTAATAATATACTTTCTACACAGATTCATCAAAGCACTAGTTTAATTAATAAGGCATATTTGTTTTGTTGTTTTATTATATTAAAATTTCTTGTTTTCTGGTTTTTTAAAAAATAAATCCTTTCAGTAATGTAGAAAAAACACCATGCGTCATGGGGCTTTACAAAAATTTGTGCTGATAGTGTGGACACCATTCTCCACAGACGAGCAGAAAACCGTAGTTAGTCGAACAGAAAAGACGTGTATGGTGTTCGAAGCCACTTACGTTTTAAAACTGGTATGTCGCATTTTGTTTGTTAAATTTTACCAAAAGAGCAAACCTACAATAAATTGTAGTAACCTGGTGAGTTTGTGGCACATTTATAAGGTAATTTTTGAGTATTTTAGTAGATTCGCGTTGCAGTTTAAATTATTATTATAGGGTTGTAAGTGTGAAATTAAAACTAGGACTAATTATTTTAAAAATGCTGAATAGTTTTTCTAAAGTTATAATTGGCATTTAATAACTGCTCATTCGAAAGTTTGAAAATAGTGAGTCGCTAATATTCGAAATTTCATGTAAACATTGATCCATTTTAAGAATGTGGAAGTTGTTATCAGTCAAATAAACATCATCGTGGAAACGGGAAGTGGTGTTTTATGCTTATTGTGTGTTATCAACCACTAGATTATAAAGTACTAAATGTGCTTACAAAATGTTTTTATTAAAAATAAAGGAAGTAGAAGTGAGTTTCGCTGAATCCTGAAAATTTATCAAAAAATAACAACACAGACGATAAACTTTAACACTGCTGTTAATAATTTAAAAAATGCGCAAATACCACATTCTGGTCAGGTTTCACTTTAGTTATGCTTGTTTAGAAATAAATATCCGCTTAACCACGTTACTAAAATGGCAACTGAAATTCAAATGGATTTACTGACTTCACCTTCAAAACATAATGGTTTTATTTTACTTATACTTAATTTCTCTTAACCACTAATTGCATGCAACTTATTCCTTTCAGTTTCAGAGTCTGGCAACTCTCGTCCACCCCAGTGCACATGCGAAAACTCCATGAAAATATTTGTAATAATCGCAATTGTTGCATTAGTAGCTATTAATTGTTATTATTTTATTATCACGGAACTGTAATAAAGAATAAATTTTACAATACATTATAACAATATTTAATACATACTTAGGTTAAATGTACGCATCCAATCGACTTTTAAGCATGTACGCTGTCGGAGCCATTGTTATAGTGTGTTCTGGAACTATTCTTGTGATGATGTTAATAAGAAATAAAGAAGTTAAAGGCAATGGATAAAACCAAGCCTGACAAAGTATATTAAATTTTTGGTCAATTTGTTGCATTTGACAGATTTGTTTACAGAACGTCAGTAGCTGACGACACTCTTATAACTGGAGGATCATCATTGAGAAGGACAAATGGGGTGGACGAGCGTCTTTGAATTGGTCTACACCTCTCATTCTTGAACATCCAACAAATTTTGTTATTACAATGCATACTGTTACTCCACAGTGTCACACTTTTCATGAATGCATGTAGTACCAGAATTCGATCTCTCCAAATTCAACATGTCGGCACAGGAGCGAGTCCTGATATAAGGTACAATTTTGTGGTAGGAGGAGACGGCAATGCGTACGTGGGAAGAGGGTGGGATATGAAAAACGCCGAACAATCAGATTCCATCACAATCAGTTTTATAGGACATTACGTTTTTGATTACTTAACGCCCGAAATGATCGACATTACGAAGAAGCTTATAAACATAGGGGTTGAAAAGGGGAAACTCGCTAAAGATTACAAGCTGGTGGCTCACAACCAAACATTTCCTACTATAAGCCCTGGCCCACATGTTTACGAAGTGATCAAAAACTGGCCACATTTTGACCCCGCGAGGTACTTTGATTTGTAGATCTGTTATTTGTGACGTTCTGTTTTATCAGATTTTATTGTGATTGCTTGTTGGTATAGACTAAAAGTCAACGAACGCGGAAGTGCTAGTCATAAAAATGTGCTGTAAACGTACCTAGTGTTGTAAATTGGTAGGTGGTAAATAATTTTTAGTTACGTACTCAGTTCGTAATCTTAGAAGTAGATATTGTACGTGAAAATGTATTTGTTACGAAATTTGTTAAAACTCTGATTTTAATACGAGGGCATTGTAAATATCTGCTCAGAGTTATAAATCAGTCCACAAATATATGTACCTTAATCAAGGTTTTTCTTACAGGGTGTTAATGGTCACGGATCCAAATTTCTGCTAATTGTTTAGAAGGGAATAATTTTAAACATTAATAAACAAGAAGAATATCTTCCAGCAGGTGGAAGTCCGTCCGAAAAGGTTAAAAAAGTTCTAAGTCTATTCCATATATGTGTAAAAATCGTCATCATCAGCCGGTTAAAAGCTACAACTAATTAAACTCACAAAAATTTTTACCACATTTTGATGTGGGAAGCAAACTGTAATTTTAAAATTCGAAAATCGTGATTAGTTTTTGAAAGAATCTTCGGGTTAAATATGGTTAAATAATGGTATGACGTCATGTTCAAAATTTATAATAATGTTTTTTTTAATTTCATAGGATAAGACACTCCTGCACTTGTGGTGTGTGAATCCGTGTCGACTTTTCACCCTAAACACCCAGACTTTTTGCAAAAAATTCCAAATCGAATAACAGTACTTTGCAATATAAATTTGAAACTGCAAAACTGAATTCCCTCAAATCTTCTAAGTATTTTAAGGTAATCGTAATCATGGTAAACGGTTAAGCAAAATTTTTCCGAAAAAATTCTATCCAAAATATACAAATTATGATGAATCTATACTTGTGATTTATCATTGCATCAAAAGTTTTTAAATTTCTTATCTAGGGTGACTCATCAAAATTAATGAAAGAGTCAACTTATTTTTTTGATTAAATCGCAAACGGTTCACTATGTTTTCCCGAAAATTTGGGAATGCAATACTGTTATCATTAGTACTACACTGTACCTATGCAAAGTGATACAATATTGATTTCTTATTTCATGCACATGCTCGAAAATGTCAAACTTGCCAAAATCAATCCTATCCTATCAAATATTATTAAGTACTAGCCCCGCCCACCCACCCTCTACTTTCTTGGAAGGTATGACCTTTGCCAAAATCAATCTTATCTTAACAAGGACTAGCCCCGCTCACCCCCCCCCCCCCCACTTCTCATAATAATGTTATTTTTATTTCTGTTCAGTATAAGAACATTCATTTCATTCAAATAGAATGAGAAGAGAATAAAATTAATCACTGAAAAGGAGACAGGGTGGGTGGGCGGGGCTAATTATGTTTTTCTGTCGAGTGGGAGTGGAAACTAATAATAGAATCTAGGATCTAGAAAAGTAAAAAACAACGCTAATTGTAACTTACTTGCTACAAAATTGATTTCTTACTTTCATGCATCTGACCTAACTTCAACTAATTTTTCGATATAGTTGAAAAATGGTCGAAAATGTCAAAAGTACCAAAATCAGTCTTATCCTATCAAATACTAGCCCCGCCCACCCATCCGTTATTTGCTTAGAGGGTATGTCATCTGCCAAAGTTAGTCTTACCTTAACAAGTATTAGCCCCGCCCACCCGCCCTCTATTTTCTTGGAAGGAATGACATTCGCCAAAATCAATCTTATCTTAACAAGGACTAGCCCCGCCCACCTCCAATCTTCTCATTTTAACGACTATTTTTATTTCTGGTCAGTATAAGAAAATTCATTTCATTCAGATCGAATAAAATCAATCACTGAAAAGGAGACAGGCTGGGTGGGCGGGGCTAATTATATCTTTCTCTACAGTGGGAGTGGAAACTAATAGTAGAATCTAGGATATGAAAAATTAAAAAAGGGCGCTAATCGTAGCTTTTTTTTGTTATACTATTTGTTACAAAATTGATTTTTTATTTCATATATCTGACCTAACTTCAACTAATTTTCGGATATAGTTGAAAAATGGTCGAAAATGTCAAAAGTGCCAAAATCAGTCTTATCCTGTCAAATACTAGCCCCGCCCGCCCACACTCAATTTCTTAGAGGGTATGTCATTTGCCAAAGTTAGTCTTATCTTAGCAAGTATTAACCCCACCCACCCGCCCTCTATTTTTTTGGAAGCTATGACATTTGCCAAAATCTTAACAAGTACTAGCCCCGCCCATCCACTCCTTCCTCCCATTATAATGATTATTTTTTTTTGTTCAGTATAAGATCATTCACTTCATTCAGATTAGATAAAATGAATCACTGAAAAGGAGACAGGGTGGGTGGGCGGGGCTAATTACGTCTTTCTGTCGAGTGGGAGTGGAAACTAATAATAGAATTTAGAATGTGAAAAAGTAAAAAATAGCGCTAATCGTAACTTGTTTTGTTATAATATTTGCTACAAAATTGATTTCTTTTTCATGCACCTGCCCTAACTTCAACTAATTTTCGGACATAGCAGAAAAATGGTCGAAAATGTCAAACTTGCCAAAATCAGTCTTATCCTATCAAACACTAGCCCCGCCCGCCCACCCTCTATTTTCTAAGAAGGTATGTCATTTACCAAAGTTAGTCGTATCTTAGCAAATATTAGCCCCACCCACCCGCCCTTTATTTTCTTGGAAGAAATGACATTTGCCAAAGTCAATATTATCTTAACAAGGACTAGCTCCAGTCCCGCCTACCCCCTTCACTCCTTCTCATTTTAACGACTATTTTGATTTCAGTTCAGTATAAAAACATTCCATCCATTCAGATCAAATAAAATCAATCACTGAAAACGAGACAGGGTGGGTGGGCGGGGCTAATTATGTTCTTAAGTAAAAAACGGCACTAATAGTAACTTTTTTGTCATACTCTTTGATACAAAATTGATTTCTTATTTCATGCATCCAATCTAACTTCAACTAATTTTATCAAAAGTGCCAAAAATCAGTCTGATCCTATGAAATACTAGCCCCGCCCGTCCAGCCTTTATTTGTTTGGGGGGTATGTCATTTGCCAAAAGTGGTCTTATCTTAGCAAATATTAGCGATGTAACTAATGATCGACATTACAAAGAAGCTTATATAGGGGTCGAAAAGGGGAAACTCGCTAAAGATTACAAGCTGGTAGCTCACAACCAAACATATGCTACTATAAGCCCTGGCCCACATGTTTACGAAGTGATCAAAAACTGGCCACATTTTGACCCCGCGAGGTATTTTGATTTGTAGATCTCTTATTTGTGACGTTCTGTTTTATCAGATTTTATTGTGATTGCTTGTTGGTATAGACTAAAAGTCAACGAACGCGGAAGTGCTAGTCATAAAAATGTGCTCTAAACGTACCTAGTGTTGTAAATTGGTAGGTGGTAAATAATTTTTAGTTACGTACTTACTTCGTAATCTTAGAAGTAGATATTGTACGTGAAAATGTATTTGTTACGAAATTTGTTAAAACTCTGATTTTAATACGAGGGCATTGTAAATATCTGCTCAGAGTTATAAATCAGTCCACAAATATATGTACCTTAATCAAGGTTTTGTTAGTATTTTCTTACAGGGTGTTAATGGTCACGGATCCAAATTTCTGCTAACTGTTTAGAAGGGAATAATTTTAAACATTAATAAACAAGAAGAATATCTTCCAGCAGGTGGAAGTCCGTCCGAAAAGGTTAAAAAAGTTCTAAGTCTATTCCATATATGTGTAAAAATCGTCATCATCAGCCGGTTAAAAGCTACAACTAATTAAACTCACAAAAATTTTAACCACATTTTGATGTGGGAAGCAAACTGTAATTTTAAAATTCGAAAATCGTGATTAGTTTTTGAAAGAATCTTCGGGTTAAATATGGTTATAAATAATGGTATGACGTCACGTTCAAAATTTATAATAATGTTTTTTTTAATTTCATAGAATAAGACACTCCTGCACTTGTGGTATGTGAATCCGTGTCGACTTTTCACCCTAAACACCCAAACTTTTTGCAAAAAATTCCAAATCGAATAACAGTACTTTGCAATATAAATTTGAAACTGCAAAACTGAATTCCCTCAAATCTTCTAAGTATTTTAAGGTAATCGTAATCATGGTAAACCGTTAAGCAAAATATTTCCGAATAAATCCTATCCAAAATATGCAAATTATGATGAGTCTATACTTGTGATTTATAATTGCATCAAAAGTTTTTAAATTTCTTATCTAGGGTGACTCATCAAAATTAATGAAAGAGTCAACTTATTTTTTTGATTAAATCGGAAACGGTTCACTATGTTTTCCCGAAAATTTGGGAATGCAATACTGTTATCAATAGTACTACACTGTACCTATCCAAAGTGATACAATATTGATTTCTTATTTCATGCACCGGACTTAACTTCAACTAATTTTCGGACATGGCGGAAACATGGTCGAAAATGTCAAACTTGCCAAAATCAATCCTAATCCTATCAAATATTATTAAGTACTAGCCCCGCCCACCCACCCTCTACTTTCTTGGAAGGTATGACCTTTGCCAAAATCAATCTTCCCGTTCTCATAATAA